GGCGAAGCAGTCAAAGGTCCCTTTGTGCGGAGGGCAAGAACCCTGCATCTTTATAGTTTTATTGAAGCTGTGAGTAGGGTAACCATGGCAATCAGATTGTATTTTAATTCCAGAACACAAAGATAGTGTGCCCATAATTTAATTGGCCCAAAATAGAATATGCCCGGTGAATTCCCAGTTTTAAAAATATTTGTGTTATCTATACTAATATTATAAAGAGGAAAGATTTGTTTGTTTGTTTGTTTCGAATAGGCTCCGAAACTACTGGACCGATTTGAAAAATTATTTTTCCATTAGAAGCCGACATTGTCCCTGACGAACATAGGATACTTTTTAAAAAAAAAAAAAAATTTTATTTTTTTGGTTTCATGTGTGTTTTAATGTTTCCGAAGCGAAGCGAGGGCGGGTCGCTATTTAGTATAATTTTAGCTCGAATTAAACATCGGCAAATACTACTAATATAATTGTTATTTTATAAAGAGCCTAAAGGAAAATTATTTTATCAGAACTTGATATGGTCAATAATAGCCTGATGAGATAACGGAGTTTTCTTTAAATTTTAAAGCCCTTAATGTTACAATTATGTAGAAAGTCGCATCAGAGAATTGGAGAGTGTTCAGAGACATTGACTCAGCACTATTCAGTGGAAAGCATGAACAAAGAGAACTCATATAATGAAGTCTGATGACGACTAATACGATAAACGATTAGCTCAGAAAAATACATAAATTTATAACGGATAAGTTACAACTGCTAGTCCAAGGTAAACAGAGAAGTTTCCGTAAGATGTATAAAGAAGAATTATGGTCTTCAGACCTTCAGGTTCTGCGGCGGCACGAGCTGACTTCGCGAAGGCTTCCTTACTTCTGTCGCGAAACAGTGCCTATTAAAACAAACAGATAGATACGTCTAAATTAGTAGTAGGTAATACTCTGTCGATTTAGGCCAGTGATTCTCAACTTTTTCTTTTATCGCAGCGCACTTATAACGATTTGCAGATTTGATGAACACAAAGAAAAAGATAAATTTTTAAAATTGTTTCCTTACCTATAATGATACACTTCGCAAAATAGATTGTTATTAATTTTTTTATTAAAAAACATTTCTAAAATGACAACATAGATTTCAACTGAAGGCCATATTGTTAGGTTTAGGTTGTTTTTAGTTCGTCACCAAGTATTGTAGCGACAGTCCTAGTTTATTGACCTATTTAGTGACAGTCCTAGTCATCATTACGCTTTCCAATTGTTGTACAAAATTAATTAATATCGAGCGGCAATGGTTGTGCTGTTTTTATCTTTATTAAATTTTGTCAATATCTATGATTATCTTTAATTAACTTTTGTCAATAGGTAACTGCGTAGCAGGCAGGCTGACAAACACCGTCGCTGTTTCCATTGGAGCCAAAAATTCTGGTACACGACATCAAAACTCACCGTTGCTCATGCTCATTAGCAATAACGGGGATCCTACGAAGCTAAGGTTTACCGTTGAGGACTCTTTTAAGGATATGCCGCTGCTGATTGCGGAAACACTAAAGAATTTTTTGGAACGAAGTTCCTTATGGGGACGATGCGGAAGGGTACCCTAACCGGAAAAAAACGTTCGTAACGCAAATTTTTTATTAGTAATGCACACAATGTACGACTTAACTTTGTAATAACGTACAAAAATGAACAGATTTTTATTATATATTTTTTACAAATCATTGTGAATAAAATAAAGTTGATAACTTTGTACGGAAGTTTTTTTTTATTTTTATCAACAAAAAAAACTTAATAAAAAATGTACACCTGAATAATTATTTTCTTTATACCTCGAATAAAACTTAAAAATAATATTTTTATAATAAGGAACTTCGTTCCTCCTATCCGGTGTCCCACGACACCACACATCTTTTTTTTTGTTTAGACGGGTGAACGAGCTCACAGCCCACCTGAAGTTAGGTGGTTAGCAGAGCCCATAAACATCGACAACCTATTTGCCGCCACCTACCTTAAGATATGAGTTCTAATTCTCATTTCTAAACTAAGACTACCCTTGAAACGGTAGTGGTTGTGGTACTTATCCATCGGGACTCGCGATACCCGTAAAATACCTAATAGTTAAAAGTATTTCGGTTATGGTTGAACTTAATCCGGGCTATCACAACATTACTCATGTGTTTAAACGTGTCAGAATGTAAATAGATAAAAAAGTTTGCGGACTCCACCTACGGATAGTGTACATTTAGAACGTTGTTCTTTTTAATTATTATTCAATTGGTATTACAAAACATAGTTAAGCCGTTGATCTTATACCTTTAAACGAGCAATTCTTGTATATTTATATAAGTATATATAATCTGAATCTCGGAAACGGCTCTAACGATTTTAATAAAATTTAGTATACAGGTGGTAGGACCTCTTGTGAGTCCGCACGGGTAGGTACCACCGCCCTGCCTATTTCTGCCTTGAAGCAGTAATGCGTTTCGGTTTAAAGGCTGGGGTAGCTGTTGTAACTATACTGAGACCTTAGAACCTATATCTCAAGGTGGGTGGCGCATTTATGTTGTTGATGTCTATAGGCTCCAGTAACCACTTACCACCAGGTGGGCTGTGAGTTCGTCCAACCATCTAAGCAATAAAAAAAAGGTGATTTGGGGGGCGATAAATCGAACTAGCTACCATTTATTTTCAGAAAATGTTGTTTTATTCGTGTTGCCAATAATCAACTCTTCCCGACATCTATTGGCGAATAATAATACCATTTTTCTTAATTGAGGGCAACTAACCGCTTTAAAGACAAAAAGAGGGCGTTATAAAAAAAAAACAGAGCAAAGCTCGGTCATCATCTGGTGCTGTATAAAGCACGTGAGTTGTCTAGGGATGAAGCCAGCAGAAGAAACATTGAACTTTGTGACATTCCGTTTTGATTAGGACTTTAGTGTTTCGGACAGTTTATGGCCTTTAGAGCCTCCTAGAGCGCTTAATCGTGAGGTTTATATAACATTTAAGCTCAGCAGCAGAAGCTTTACAAGCACTTGGTTTATAGCAACATGGTAATATTCAAAGAACTACGTAATAAAGGGGAGATTATGTTCAGAAAACAAAACCTGGTGCCACATTAGATACTTCAAAAAAAAAAAAAAAAACAACACGTATGGAACACGCGCGGCTATAGTGATGTGCTCATGTTTGTTTACGCAGCTGGTCCGAGTTGATTCTGTACGGGTATCGACATCGAGACTAGACGCGTTTGATGTCCGATTACGGCACGACTGGCACTTGACGTTTTGAATTGCATTCGGGTTAAGCGACCTATTAATGTGTGCTCCCTACGTTTTATTTGTTTAAGATAAGCCGGGGAGTTGAGTTGATCCACAAAACAATACTTTAATTGAATGTGGATTTGTCTTAATTTGGTTACATTATTTACACTTTAAGCCACTATAGATATACAATAATATGAATGTAATCGACGCTCATAAGACAACATTCATTTTTGACTACATGAACAGAAAAAATCCCTCGCACAAATATTTTGGAATAGACAAGACTTGACCATACTTGAAGCGATTTTCGAAACGATTCTTCAGAGCCTAGACCACCTTAAAAGCAAAAAATCGATTAAAGAAATATAGACAACAGTTCTCGTAATATTAACGTTGAAATTAGTACGTATACTTAGAGATGGTTCTTGTGTATTTAACACTCACAAGAATAACATAACTATTTTTCACACGTAAGATTGCAAGCTTTCGTGTGTCGATTTATTTTCTTAATAGAATAAGATCTGGAATCGATCTGGTAATGCCGTTATCTGCGCTTTAACATGGAATAGCAAATGAAATAATTGAAATTCTATAATCGTAATACACATTTAGAGTAGCACAATTTTTAAACGTGTATTATTTAGGGTAGCATTATAATTTCAAAAGTCAATGCAAAAATGGCACGCAATGATGCTATTAATTCTATGGATGTCGTGTCCAGCATTCCATAGGCGAATCAATAGCTTATCTCTTTAATGGCCAACCGAGGTAGATATAAAAAAATCCATTTCACGGGAAGCAAAAATTCGCGCAGTAAAATCAACCCGCGCCACGATATCGATCAAGGAAATATAGACATTAGTTCTAATAACATTAACACCGATATTAGCATGCTTTTTGTGAGCTCAAATAATAACAACACGTAGACCGTTAGGTTTTTCGGTTTGGCTACAAACACAACCTCAATGAAAACAAAGTGACGAATGAAGATCAGAATGAAAACCGTGGAATGGGATGTTTATTAGACACGACACCTTGTTTGTACATAGAGACGTCTCTGTGTACTGAGCTTCGACTAGTTCCTCGAATATGAAGTTTTGGTATTCGACCAACCGATTGGTAATGATACAAACATTCCGGCAAACGTGACTGAAACGTAAATATTCCGTAGAAAAAGTATATTAAGCGATTATTGGCGGCGGTATTGAGTTCCGAACATCTATTACTAGCTTTGTGCTGGAAAATGCCAAGTCAAAATAACAGTACCTGATAAATATACCCAATGAGATTTGAACTTCAATATCGTGTTATACGTGAAAAATGTTTTCAAAATTATTAACATTTTCATTTTTAGAGGATTTTTCTATTTTTGCCGTGAAGCAGTAATGCGTTTCGATTTGAAGGGTGGGGCATCCGTTGTAACTAACTATACTGAGACCTTAAGAACTCACAGCTCAACGTGGGTGGCGGCTTTCACATTGTAGATCCAGTAACCACTTAACACCAGGTGGACTGTGAGCTCGTTCAACTATCTAAGCAATAAAAAAAAAATGAAAAAAGAATCCGATTACTTCGTCTGCGTATTGTATATTCGTATCGTATTATTTAGAGTCACATTTGGTCACATTAGCGTTTCTGTTCAAATAGTCCGCCATGTCAGTCAATTAACAAATTCCAGACTTTACATTAGTTTATCAGTGAAATTATCAAATTTATTCTTAATTTTAGAATACTAAAAAAAACTTACCAACTACTCCAACAACGCTGAATACGCTCGCACAGACAGCGGCCAAGATCGTGGCCTCAGTGGGATAAAATGTCCCATTCTGCGAGTCGCTCAACGTAAAATTATACATTTTATCGATAGAAGACATTTTTGCACTTCACTACACTTTTTTTCACTTGTCAGTTAGAGAGCCAAAAAAGCCTTATTATATAATTATATTATTATGCACCGGGATCTCTGTTCTTACAGCCATGTTTGTGGTTTTCGTGGAGCCGACACACGTTACGATATCTGAAATAAAAATAGACAAAATTACTCATTTTTTGTTTGCACGTAAAACTGAGTAATGTACCTAATGTTGTAGCTTGTTATTTTTGATTAGACTATACAGTGCTTTTATGGGAATGCCAGGGAGATTATAGAGATTAGACGGACGTTAGATTTGTTTATGTTAACTTGTATGTAGCTTGTATTGTGTATTTGTCCCTGCGTAGGTTCAAGAAAAATGTAGGCGGTTTATTAAAACTTATAATCTATTAAACACGTAGGTGCTGGAATCAAAGAAGGTCATAGAAGTAATAAGTATTACGTAATGTAGTACCTACATATTGCTTCAATGAAGAAGATATGTATGCGGATTAAGGGATGTGGACTATGCCAATCAAAGACTGACTTGTGACCAAGAAACAGATTATAGAATTTTCATGTCGTTGCAAGTTTTTTTAGTACGCCATGTTCTTTGAAAAGTTTTGTATTAAAATACAAAGAACGGTGTATTAAATAAGTAACCCAGGTAATAGGATAAAAACAATTAACTAACTGTTGGGCAAACCTTAGATATTAAAGAGATAAAAGCCTTATAGTAAATGTGATAGTCAAATCGATTTCGAAGCTATCTATCTACTAATTTCTTCGTTTACAGCTAGTCGTAGATTTAATAAAAGCTATTTTTACGGTTTAGTCCCGGTTTTTTTACCTACATATATATTTTTTTCGAATATTGTTTTCGTGGTTACGGACGTAGTGACCTGAGAATTTGCATAGACGTGATAGTTTTCTTGAGATTCTCGTCAGCTGGTTTCTATATTTTTCAACTGCGCCACGATGGTGTGGAGTACGAGGTGTTAGGTGCGAAACGTACATAATAAATTTCACGAGTACATAATTGAACTGTCGGCAATGTACAGCGTATTTATACATAACGTTTACGGGGTCATTTTTTATGACTACCTATTGCTAGTAACTTCGAAGGGTAATGCTAGGTTCATTGGACGTACAGGCGAGCTCACACGGTTCAGCCTAGGAGACTTTGCTAACACTAGCCCATAAGCAAGAACAGTGCTTTCCTTAGTCTACCGCCGGATCGGAATCGCGACCCACTGAGAAGATCCAGCGAGAAACTCAGTGAGTGGGCTGTGTCCATGAAAATTAGTTTCACGTTGAGTCCTTAGTCGCGTTGGACGGGTTCCACGAGAACGGTGACCGGTGCTTGGAATGCCTAAAAGCACAGAGAGTGGATCAGGAGGATCCGAAATGGCGTGCACTGTATCTACACTGTACAACATACACATGCATTGTATACTTTTTTATTGCTAAGATGGTTGTACGAGCTCACAGCCCACCTGGTGTTAAATGGTTACTGGAGCCCATAGACATCTACAACGTAAATGCGCCACCCACCTCGAGATACAAGTTCTAAGGTCTCAGTATAGTTACAACGGCTGCCCCACCCTTCAATCCGAAACGCATTACTGCTTCGCGGCAGAAATAGGCGGGGTGCTGGTACCTATTTACCTACCCGTGCGGAGACACAAGAGATCCTACCACCAGTAATTACGCAAATTATAATATTGCGGGTTTGAATTTTATTAAATTGCGTAGTACACATGCATTATACGTATAGGTTGCAAGTGCAGCTTATATAAATTAATAATGCATTAATTGCCCTAATCCATTTCACGAAATAAATAGGGTCGTTTTCAAATTTGGGGCCAAAAGCGAGTTATTTGATTTAATTCACATATGTAACCTTAATGTTACCGTAATTATAATAAGTACAGTAAATTTGTTGTCATTATACCTTAAAAACTACCCCAAATCTCATTCGTATCATTGGTTCGAAATTCCAATTCTAACTTGTTTGTTATTAATGCGTGTTGAAATTCGGCAATTTTATTTAATCAGTATATAATACAATAATAAAGCAAAACTAACCGGATATTAGAACATTATTACGATTTCTAAGCTTTTAAAAAAAGTTCCTATTTAAATTGTCATCCGTGTTGGCGTTATCAAATGCGTAAAATGAAAAATATAAATGAATATTAAATAAAATTATCAATAAATGAGTGAATGACTTGATTGTGATCAAGTATTGTTTATTCAGAACATGCCTAACGTTTTATGTTCACGATTGACTTCCACGGTGAAGGAATAACATCGTGTAATAAAAATGAAACCCGCAAAATTATAATTTGCGTAATCACTGGTGGTAGGACCTCTTGGGAGTCCGCACGGGTAGGTACCACCACCCCGCCTATTTCCGCCGTGAAGTAGTAATGCGTTTCGGTTCGAAGGGTGGGGTAGCCGTTGTAACTATACTGAGATCTTAGAACTTATATCTCGAGGTAGGTAGCGGCATTTACGTTGTAGATGTCTATAGGCTCCGGTAACCACTTAACAACAGGTGATCCGTGAACTCGTCCAACCACTTAAGCAATAAATAAATAAAAACACCACCAGCCTACATATTTCTGCCGCGCTCTATGGCAATGGACAACACGAAAAATAAAGTCACAATTACTTGTTGGCTTCACATCTCAAGATGAGTAGCAATATTCCCGGCTGTCATATCCACGGGCACGCCTAAAATAATTACAATATAATAATAAGATCTTAATTGTCTAGTTTCTAATTTCTAAGAAATAAAAGGAAAAAGTGAGTTAACTCAGCCAGCCGTCAATGCACATATAAATTAACATAAAACAAATAATCGTTTCACGCAAAATGGAAAGCACATAGCTTAGACATATTGATACGCTTTCCTAACTATGCATTTTTATTGGCATAATGGGCAAACGACTGTAATTTTTAATAGAATTTTTCACTTTAAAACAAATTTTACGGTCTAATATTATGGCCTTTTATTATTGTCATGATATCTATTAGTATATTACAGACGTATCGAATACTTTAAAGTTTTCCTGGGACGACTAATGTGGGTTTGGTCAACACTGGGTCACACCTTTACACTTGTAATACTGGGCTTACTACCGTGTATTTTTCTATAAAGTTTTATCCATACTTTTACATATTGTAAATGTCAAAGTGTTTGTTTGTTTGCCTTCCTTTCATGTCGAAGCAAAGCAAAGGTTTTCAAGATTTTTTTAATGATATGTATTATGATTTAGGTCTAGATCAGGACTGGTCCAGACAACGGCTTGTTTTGCCGCAGACGGCATATTTAATCAGTATAAATAGTTTGTATAATAAAATTCTTTGTCAAAACATATAATCAATATTTGGTTTAATTTATCTTTATTCATGTAACATTTCATTCCCGTGACATCATTTAATAGTGAAGCTATCTTCTACTGTTAATTGGGGGAAATGCCGGAAAGTATTTTGTTTTTGAAAATATATTTTTCTGTGGCCCTCCAGCTTTTGTAATTAATTTAATTAGACCGCAAAGGTATGTAGTTTAAACAGCCCTGGTCTAGATAGTGCCATAAATTAACTTTGTCCCGAAAGAGTATGTTATTCCCACGGGAAACTATCTTATGATCATTTTCGAGAAATTGATTGAGACTTTTCCTTGGCAACGCGAGCGAAGCTGCGTATAACAGCTAGTTTTTTTTAGTGCCCTTGTAGGCAGACGAGCATACAGCCAACCTGATTATATTTTACAGTGGTTACCGTCACCTATGGACTTCAGCAATGCAAAGCCAAGCCGCTGCCTACCAAGTTACGTCTATAGTAATGTTCACGAGTCGCGAAAACCGAAGAATGTATTATGAGTTTTCACTTGCTGCATGGTCTCTGATCTTCTTTGGTTACTGTAGTCCAAATACATCATCAGGCGAATGCCGCCACCTTCAGACATGAGATTGTAGTCCCTATATTACTGTATAACGGCTTTCCAACACAAACCTGCCTGTCTGAGTTTACAAGACCGCCAGTAATAAAATTGGATGAGTGCGAGTTTGAGATTTGTTTGTTAGCAATTTCGTGGTTTCTTACTATAAACCCTGCGTCGGTACAGTTTGAAGGAAATACAGGTCGCGTTAGATGAGTAATTCAATTACTCAAGTATGCTGCCAGTTGTCGCAGTATGAATTGGTACATGACTTGTCGGCAATATTTTGTAGTTGTTACTTCTTTAGCACCGTTCTGATTTTTAATCCGATGAAACGAAAAAAACGAAACTATAATATAGACTATATTTAAATGTCGGACTTGCCCTGTGAGAGAATGAGATAGAAAGCTTCACCTTTCGCTTTACGCTTTAAGTTCCTTTATGTTTCACTTTTTCTGCGTGTACCTACTCCAGTTTTTTTTTAAACTGGAACCTACTTACGTACATTATGAATAGCAAACTCCTTTAAATTAAGGTTGTATGTCGAAATATTAACCTCAGATGTCCTGTTAGAATAATGAATCCACGGAATGCGATAGCAATGTGGTAAAAGTTGCTCGCTAAAGTTGATGATGATAACTAACCGAGTTTCTTGCCGGATCTTCTCAGTAGTGGGTTGCGATTCCGATCCGGAGGTAGATTCAACGAAGTACTGCTCTTGCTATGGTTAATGTTAGCAAATTCTCTCAGGTTGAGCCCGTGAGCTCACTTATCTGTCCGAGCGTAGCTGGAATGGCCCCTTACCCCTTAGGCTACGAGCGATTAGTTAGGGAAAAAATAAAATATGATATTACTAAGCGTGGATGATAAGCGGAAAGGACTATAACATCATTATTGTTTAAGATTTTAACTCTTTCAATTACATATTTTATACCGTAAAAGTGATTTTAATTATGGTTACGAGTCGTGAAAATCTTATATAAAAAGATGTGTGGTGTCGTGGGACACCGGATAGGAACGAAGTTCCATATAAAAAAAAAAGAATTACGAGAAAAAAATCGCGCGGTAAAATATCGCTGTGCGGAAAACAAGGCCTTATTCCACGGACTTTTTCTTACGGATTTTACTATCACATTTTTTCCAGTTCGGTCGCGCAGCAAAATCCCTATCCCTCCAAGCCTGCCGTAAGGAATTTCGTTCCAATAATATTGACGCT